TTCGCTGCTAAAAGTTTACCTTAAAGTCGCCATAAAAAACTATTAGAAACCAAACTTTAAGATGGCAACCCTTTGACAGTAAAAAGTCGCCATTAAAAACCTTTAGTGGTGACTTTTTGTCGCCACCAAAAGTCTTTTTTCAAAAAAATAAAAAATAAAAGAGCCATCTCATGCCACTTTAGCGCATCCTCATGCCACGTCAATTGACTACTTGTGCCACATCACCTATGATGTGTGCACCTCCTTATGCCATGGCACATGCCACGTCACCCTATCATGTGTACTTGCCACGTCATGCCACATCACCTGATAACTTGTGCCACATCACTACCACATGCCATGTGAGAGCATATGTCGCTTACACCCCAAAATAGCTAAGTTAACACTAATATAGTACTAGTAGTAACCTAGGTTATTCTTCACTAAGGAGGCTAACTAAGGTTAATTAAGGCTAACTAGTAGACTAAACAAACCAAAGATTGATTAATTTTGGCTAATTAAACTAAGTGGACAGATTTAATAAAAAACCTAATTAACTAGTAAAATGAAAATGGGATTGTTTAAACCTTTCTAAAGTGGAGTTCTAGGAGTTATGGGATACTAGAATCCTTGTCTATTCATTTTAATTAGGCTTAGATTAATTTTCACTCTCTTGATCTAAATTAAACCCCTTACATAATTTTGTATAAGAGTGCCTTCCTAACCAATTCAATTAACCAGTCCTCGCATGATTTTGTATAAGTCTCTAATCAATTTCTTAACTAAGTGCAAAGTGATCAAAATCTACCTTAGTTTCCCTTAAGTGTAGCCCAGCCTATGGTACACACATAAAACATATATTTATATGAATTACAATGTATTGGAGAAAATTTTCAGCAATTACACAAAGGAGAATCAAGTGGAAAAACAATAAACCATCAAGTTAAATACCAATTTTGGTCAATAAAAATAAGATATAATAATGTTCTTAATTTTAAGAACAATATTATACATCAACCTAGGTTTAATGGATAGTAGTCATGACATTCATCCTTCCTTGAGACATTTAAGACTCCTCTAGCATCCTTCCCTCCTATCACTCCTTTTAGATTTCACCTCTAGTCATCTTGGAACTCACTTTAGCAATATCCTTCCACCATGACTGAATCATACTCATGAACACCTTGAAGAAAATAAAGCTTAGGGTTTGAAGAGTGGGGTGGAAGAAAAAGAAAGGTGGAGTCAGATTAGAATTTTGATGGTTGGATCATGGGATATGAAGGAGAGAAGGTGAGATGGAGATGAAGAAGAACATGAAGAATAGTGGTGAGAGAATGGAGAAGGGTAGAGGTTGAAAAATGCTAAATAGAGGTGGAATGAATGCTCAAAATGAAATTAGGATAGTTTGATTCAAGTCTAGGGTGAAAAGACCCAAATCTAGTGTTTAGTAACAGGTGAAAAATGTCCTAAGGTAATCTTATTCTTTACCATGGTAAAAATAGATGAAAATTCAGATAAAAATGGTCTAAAAATTGAATTAAATAAAGCTAAAGAAAATGGAAAATTAAGAGAGGCAGTAAGTGGAATTAAAGTGTGGTTCAATGTGTGCAAGACCATATAAGGCTTGTACTTTCACTCAAAAACTCAAGTGTTTGCCTTTTGACTCATCAAGTATTCCAATCAATGGTCCCCATGTGCCAAATCCAAGGGATACAAATTTACACAAATAAATGTGACACACAAAATTAAAGTTCAAAGCATATAGATAATAATTGCATTTTCAATTAAAATTAATTTCCAAATATGTGTCATAATGCAATTAAATAATAAAATAATTATGATATCATAAAAGAGGCTTTAGGGCTTGTCAAATAGCCTAAAAATTGTGAGCCCATACATGCACAAAAATGACCTAGGCCAAGTGTAAGAAAACAAGTTCACTTGAAACCTTGACTTTCCAAAATTATCAACTTGTGAAATTAATTACTCTTAATCTAAAATGAGTTTGAGAAATCTAATGAGATTATTGATCTTCTGGACTAGAAAAAGCATCTTGACAAATTTTGTCAAACATTTTCTCAAAAATTCATTTTTATGACCAAAATGCCCTTAATGCACAAAATCTTACACTTAGGCAATTTTCACAATCAATGCAATAAGTATGTAATTTGGGCAAATATAACATGATTTTTGGTCAATAATCTCAGGAAAAGTGTGTAGTAAATGTGACTTATTAATTCCCCTGCACTTGTGATAGGAAATTAGTCGCTTATCCTCAAAATTACACTAAAGCTAACCCTAATGCAATATAGGGCCAACCCTAGGTCATCTCCCAAGGAATGGTTTTAAGTCTAATGAAAGTTATCTAGTGAAATAAATCAACCAAAATTTGTAGGAATTTAGTTACCTAGCTAATTATCTAAACTAATTACCTAATGTGCAAGTAATTAAAATGCTAGTGAAAGTGAGTGAAATGAACTTCCCTTTTCACAATAATGGAACCCTAGAGATTAGTTGATTTTGGACTCATTATCTTCTCATGATTAGGCTAAGTTTAGCTTCCCTTTCCTCTGACTAAAGCTGTCATGACTTAAGAAAATTATCCTAAGCCAATTAACCTAATTAGCTAACCTCCCTAGGTCTTAGATTAAAGTCCCTAGTTCAATTAACCAATTAGTGAAGACATTAGCCAAGTGATTCACTCAAAATCCTCTCTCAACAGCCATGGTGAAACACAATAAATTGAGCAACCACAAGATTATGTCAAGCTACTCAACAACACAAGCATTAACACCACAAGATTATGCAATATTAACACAAGATATTCACTAATTGAAAAACACAAGATTATGTGTCAAACAAAGAGTGGCAAAATTCAGTCATGGCTGTCCAAGGAAGAAATTAAATGAAACAATCCTCTCTCTTTACATCAACATCAAATTCAAATTAGAATTTATAAGCTAAGATGATTAAACCCTAGATTAAGAATCTAACCATCTAGTAAAAAGAGAAGAGGATAGGAAACAAAAGACCTTAGCCAATTTGAAGCTTAAGACTCATCCTCCATCTTCATCTCTCTAGGATTCCACAAAGAAACTTAGCCAATCTTCATCTTCAAGAACCCTAGTGATTGCTTGTGAAGGCCAAATTCCATAGCTCTTGAATGATGGAAATGAGCTTCAATCCTTGTGAAAATGGAAGGGATGGATGAAATGAAAATGAAGAGAGGAGAAGAATGGTATGAGTTTTGTGGAGGTTTGGTGGCTGAAAATGGAGGTTAGGGTGCTGGAAAATGAAGAACAAAAGAGAGAAAATGAAGAACACTATGAACAAGAGAGAGAGAATGTGGAAGATGAATGAGATATGTGTTGGATCTCATTTGGGCTTAAAATGGTGTGCTCCTTGGTGTCTCCCATCAGCTGAAGCTTAATTAAAAATAAGCAAAAAGAAATTAAAATGTAAATGGGAGCCTTGTCACACTTGCAAGGTGGCAACTTCCTATTGGTTTGTAGATGATTCCAATGTGTGCCTAATTTTCCATGTGTCATCCACATCATTTTAGCTGATTAATCCCTCAAAATAATCATAATTCACGTGCAAACCATCAGCCATTGACCTCAAGGAGTGTTGACCTCAATTGTCCAATTGATGCACAAGTCACATGCCACCTATGTCACATAAATCACATAAATCAATTAAATAGCATATGATATAATAAAATCTAATTCATGTCCAGAATTAAATTCATAATTAGAAGGGAGAATTTATTAAATTAACCAAGTTTCAGGCTGCACAAAATTATATAAAAATTTTCACACAAAGGCAAACCAAAAACTAGGACAAATTAAGAGACTTAAGAAAGTGTTGACTTTTTTATTTAATTACTCCCAAACTAAAATGAATTTTAAAAATATAATTTCACCATTCATCAACTAGACATAAAATTCACTTTCTCAATTTTTCTTGTACATTTTCTCAAAAGTTCATTTTTTGGACCAAAATGCCCCTAGTGCACTGAACCTAGAAACTTGGCAAAATTACAAATCTAATGCAATGTGTGCACTTGAAGGTGATAAGTCATTAATAAAAGGGTCCTAATTGACAAATAAAAGTGGGTAACAATTGTGTTCTATCAACTTGCCTTTTACACTCCTAGAAAAATTCAAAACCAAAAACAAACTCTCTCAAATACTAAAACAAGAACAAAGTAAAATAAAACAACTTGTCAAGGGTAACCAAGTTAAAAGCCAAGGAAAGATTTTACAAAATAAGATATGTTGTTTCTCTAGTTGGAATACCTCATTAACCACGAGTAAACCATTAAAAAGATGCAATTTTATAGAGAAAGCCTCACAAAGATAGTGTATGCATTTAAGCACTCAAGTGTTTAGGGTTTAACAATTTCACTCAAAATCTTTAGCAAAAATGCCCTACTATAAGCTTGTAATCCTCTACCTCTCCACTACTACATGCAAATGTTCTCAAGAATCAATTGTAATGACCCCAACAAAAATTTAAACTAAATAAATAAATATATATAGGATAACTTACTTAAAGTGTGTTTATATTAATTTTGGGATAAATATAACAAGTTAGAGACTTGGTCTAGTGGCAGCTGAGCAACCTTTCATATATAAGGTCCCAAGTTCGAATCTGGAAGAGACCAAAAGCAGAGTTAAAATTTTCTTTTTTGCTGGCCGTGCGAAATTACCAAACTGCCCTTAGCTTCATCTGATATTTTTAACTCTTCCTTCTTCTTTCTCGGTCATTCCAGAGCAGAAGCTCCGTGAGAGAGAGAGAGTTTCATCGTTCCTTTTCCCTCTGTGTTCGTTGGCCGGTGACTGTGGGTGCGTCTCTCGCCTTTGTCGCTGGAGATCAAAAAAAAAGAAGAAAGAGAGAGATCTGAGATTGGACGAATCTTGCTTAGCCTTTCGTGGTCACTGCTTTCTTCCCTTCCACCGTAGCTGGAGCTGCGTTCGCGTAGCTCATCGTCGCTGGTGTGCTCGTGGCTGGTCCTTCCATTTCGGTTAGGATTTTCCCTGTTTCTACGTCATTCTCCCTTGTACGAGCTCAGCGTTCCACCATGTTAAGTCGTTGAAATGGGTGCTGCTGGTTTAGGCTGAGGCGACGCTGACTCTGGTTTTCTTTTCTTCCGAACGGTGCTGCGTCTCCCTCTGTTTCTTGCATCAGCTGGAGAGTTCCGTTTTTCTCCCCTGTTTTGCTGTAGATTCTATCTTCTTTGCTGCCTCTGCCATTACTGGTGTTTAAGGTAAGAAATTTAAGGACTTTTCTTGCTGAATTTATGCGAGAGGGAGAGTTCTGTTTGAGGACTAAAATTATAAAAAAATTTGGTGGGTGTTCTGTTGTTGCCTTGACCGAAAAATGTATATATATATATATATATATCTGGACTGAAATCGAAAGAGACAAACTTGGATATATGATTGGTACCTATAAGATGTCATTGAAGGGCTTATATGAGGAGATAAAAAAAAATTTGACCTCTAATTGTTGATGGGAATTATTGGTTTAGAAATTCTCTTGTAGCTTTGTAAAGGAATTTAATTATGGGCTTGCACACAATCATGTGTATATTTAGAGTTTGTTTGATTTTTGGTGAATGGTTAAAGGCTTAGGATTGAGGAGGTGAGGAGGTAGAAGTAATGCACTAAGGTAAATGATACAAAGATTGGGAGAAAACTCCTATTCCATGGAAATATTATGGCATGGTTAAAGTTTTATGAAGAAAGTAAGAGAAATTAATGATAATGCTTGAATTAACTTTAATTATAAATTTGGGTTTTGAGATTTTAATGGTGGTTAGTGAAGGTTGTGTTATAAATTAAAATTTTATATATTTATATTTTATATTTTATAGGGTGTGTGGAAGAACAAGACCCTGAAAAGACTTAAAAGAAGAATACTTTCGGGAGTTAGAACTTCAACAGGTAAGTGAATAGCATTCCTTATAATTATTTATTAAAAACCTTTTTATTGAAATATTTCATTTTTATTAATTATGTTAGTTTTAGAAATTTTGAAACAACGATGAAAGACAGTTACATTATAATTTGTGCATTTTCTCAAGAAATATATTTCTAATATTGATGAAAGCACATTTGCTTATTGAATTTTGAAAATTTCTTGGTTACATGATTAGTACAAGTTTGTACATTCATTATGATGTATCGATTTGGCAAGTTTCATATATTTGAAGTAATTCATGCGAGTTTGATCTTGATAATGAAAGTTTGAACTCAAAAATGATTATTTCCCTCGCATGTTTGAAACGGGATTTCTAAGAGAACTCGAAACAGAACACTGCTGCTAACGGCAGTTTCGTTAGCCCGTAGCGCGCTGTGGTTAAATACTAGCTAGTTTGTTTCGTGAGTTTTATTCTCACGTTTGGTATTCGTGGGCTTCGTACCCGCGTTTGATTTCGTGGCCTGAGCCGCGTTTGGTTACTTACCCTCGTGGGCTGTGTGTCCACGTTTGTTTCGTAGCTTCGGCTGCGTTTGGTTACTTACCCTCGTGGATTGATGTGTCCACGTTTGTTTTCGTGGCATAAGCCGCGTTTGGTTTTTACCCTCGTGAACTGTGTGTTCACGTTTGTAACTTGTTCTGCTGAGTTCTCAGAAATTTGAATGTTAATTAATATGCATTTTCAAAATTTACCTGATTTTGATAAATAATTGGTGTTGTTTTGAGTTTTATGAGAGCAGATTAACTTCTTTTAGCACGATAACATAAATTGTTTTCACTTCATTCTTATTTTACAAAAATGATTATGACTTACATGCTTATAAATTTTGGTGAAATTACTTTCAATTTCTTGACACCATTAATAGAGATTGTCAAGTTAAATTTTAAAAATTTTATCATGGGAATGCTATTCACTGGAAAAAATTTATTTGGCCTCAGATTGGTTAGCTGACGCCGATTCCACCAACGACCTCAAAAAGGGGCAACTAGCTACAGTGGGTGGATCCTTTTGATTGGTATTACCACTTTAATGTAAATATATGAATTGTATGTCTTTTTGAATCGAAAGAAAGAGTAGATGCTTCACATAGGTTGTTGATGAATCTTATTTTTGCCTGTACATTGGTTGCTGGCTGGAAGGAGCTATGCTCCTGACTTATACTGTTAGTTGTAAAAATTTTGTTGTAGAATTTTCGGGAGATCCTAGTTACAGGGGAGGTTCTGCCGAAATTTCTGCAAATATGTCAACATTTTAAAAAAAAAATGAATGACATGAAATCAATGTTCATTTGGAGGCTTACGGGAATGTGAGAATGGTTCGTACCCGTGCCGGTCACCCTCTATTTTGGGGCGTGACAGTTTTGGTATCAGAGCCAAGGTTTTTACATGTATAACTATGTGGAGCAAGAACTTGCCAGTGAGGTTTCAATTATCATTATGAACCCGGGCATATATTATAATTGAAACATCATTGGGAGTTCTATAGGAAGTTTTTGGACGACGTTGTTTGTTTTGTTATTGACTTTTTGTTATACAAAGGAATTGTATTTTGAATTAAATATTTCTTTTGTTTTTTTATATAGTGAAATATGCCACCCAGACGTCGAGTATCTACCAGGAGCTCCACTAACAGTAGAGCCTCTGGCAGAATTTCTCCGACAGATGATATGCCCTTGAGAGGTAGAGGACGGCGTCAGAGTAGGATTAGGGCTAGGGGTGGTCGAACCCTTAGGCATCTACAAGATATTCCTTCTAGAAGTGAACAAGTAAGTCCTCAATCTGAGGAGCAGACCGTTCCTTCAACACATGATACAACAGAGGAGAATCCTGCAGTTAAGTTATCGGAATTTGAATTTATGAGTTAAATCCACCATCTTTTTCGGGAACTAATGCACGGGAGGACCCGATTGAGTTTCTTGAAGGAATAGAGAAAAGATGTAGGGCCTTGAGATGCCCTGATGTTCAGTATGTCGAGTTTGCAGTGTTTCAGCTTCAGGGAGTGGCAAGTACTTGGGCAAAAATAGTCCCGGGTTTGCATGCGACGAGAGTACCTTCTTTGACTTGGGAAGGATTCAAGACTACATTTCTGAATCGTTATTTGCCTCAGAGTACTAGAGACGCAAAAGTTGAAGAGTTTTTAACTTTAAAGTGCAATAAAGGAATGTCAATAGCAGAGTATGATCAGAAATTTACTGAATTATTTCTTTTGCCTCACATATCATCCCAACTGAAAGAGAACGAATCAACAGGTTTGTGCATGGATTGCCAGTAGATATACATGATAATATAGCGCCTATGTTGGGTCGTGATATCACCTATGCCGAGATTGTTGATAGTGCATTGAGGATCGAGAATCGACATAAGGCAGAGGAAGCAATTTCTAAGAAACGCAAGAGGGAGCATGATGAGAAATCCCTCGGTTCTTCTTCCAAGAGTCATCAATTTTCAAATCAATCTCACTTTCGTGCCTCACAATCTAAGCCTAGATCATTTGGTTCACCATCAGTGAGCACTCCTGTTGTGAGACCAAATTCTGGTAATGTGAGACCTCGAGCCCAGTCAGTGCCGAATCAATCGGGTTATGTTAGAGTCCCTTGTAATAGTTGTGGAAAATATCATTCAGGACCGTGCTATAGAGTGTCTGGTGCATGTTTTGAGTGTGGACAGACGGGCCATTTGAGAAGAAATTGTCCCTATCTACAGTCTGTGTCAAGCCACGGATCAATTCAACCTTCTCCTCGCCCTACTTCCTCATCAATCCCACCTGCTAGAACTGCTTCTACTTCAGCTAACATGGGTAAATTTGGAAGGGGAAATGGTCAGCGAGGACAATCTTCCTTAGGACAAAGGCAGGCGAGAGTTTATGCCATGACAAGACAGGATGCTAAAGCTTCAAATGCTGTTGTTACAGGTATTATAACTGTGTGTTCGAACCAAGCTTATGCATTAATTGATCCTGGATCAACTCATTCATATGTGTCTGCTTATTTTGCTAAGAGGTTGAGCAAAGAACCTACCGAACTTGATAATTCATTTGTAGTTGGCACCCCAGTAGGAGAATCTTTAATTGTTTCTCATGTGTACAAGTCTTGTGAAGTGTCTCTTGAGGGTAGAGAAACCCTTATTGATTTGATGATGCTTGATATGATTGATTTCGATGTCATCTTGGGCATGGACTGGTTAGCTTCTTGTTATGCTACCGTTGATTGTCACTTAAAAGTAGTAAAATTTGATATTCCAGGTGAAACTCCTTTTGTGTTGCAAGGTAGTTTTATAGAAAAACCTACTAATCTTATTTCGGCTTTAAAAGCCCAACGATTACTACAGAAAGGTTGTCAAGGGTTTTTGGCGTTAGTAAGGGATATTGATAAATGCACCGTTAGTTTGGATCAAATCCCTGTTGTTCGAGAATTTCTTGATGTTTTTCCAGAAGAGTTACCTGGACTGCCACCTGACCGAGAGATCGAATTTGCCATTGATTTAGTTCCGGATACTCAACCAATTTCTATCCCGCCTTACAGAATGGCACCTTCTGAGCTGAGAGAACTAAAGACCCAATTGCAAGAACTGTTAGATAAGGGATTCATCCGACCTAGCATATCTCCTTGGGGAGCACCAGTACTATTTGTGAAGAAAAAGGATGGATCATTAAGACTTTGTATTGATTATCGGCAGCTTAATAAGGTGACGGTGAAAAATAAGTACCCTTTGCCTCGAATAGATGATCTTTTTGATCAATTGCAAGGAGCTCAGTGTTTTTCCAAAATAGACTTGCGTTCGGGCTATCATCAGTTAAAGATCAAAAAGGAGGACATACCTAAGACTGCATTTAGAACTCGATATGGTCATTATGAATTCCTAGTAATGTCATTTGGGTTGACTAATGCACCAGCAGCTTTTATGGATCTAATGAATCGGGTGTTTAGACCGTTTCTTGATAAGTTTGTGATTGTTTTTATTGATGATATTTTGATATACTCAAAGAGCCCAGAGGAGCATGAACATCATTTGCGAATTGTTTTACAGACAATGAGGGAGCAACAACTTTATGCCAAGTTCTCTAAATGTGAATTTTGGCTTGATAAAGTTACCTTCTTAGGACATGTTGTTTCTAAAAATGGTATTCAAGTGGACCCAAGCAAAGTAGAAGCAGTGCAAAATTGGCCAAGACCGACGACTGTTACTGAAATTCGCAGTTTCTTAGGTCTTGCAGGATATTATCGTCGATTTGTCAAGGATTTCTCTAAAATAGCTGCTCCACTGACAAGGTTGACTCAGAAGAATGTAAAGTTTGAATGGGATGACAAGTGTGAAGACAGTTTTCAAAAGTTAAAGGATGTTTGACTTCGGCACCAGTTTTGAGTTTACCATCAGGCAATGGAGGGTATGCAGTTTATTGCGATGCTTCTCGTGTGGGTTTAGGCTGTGTTCTAATGCAGCATGGAAGAGTTATTGCTTACGCCTCAAGAAAACTTAAGAAACACGAACAGAACTACCCAACCCACGACCTAGAGATGGCAGCAGTTGTTTTTGCTCTAAAAATTTGGCGCCACTATCTTTATGGTGAGACTTGTGAGATTTATACTGATCATAAGAGTTTAAAGTATTTTTTGAACAAAAGGATCTTAATTTGAGACAAAGGAGGTGGATGGAGTTACTTAAAGATTATGATTGTACAATTCTTTACCATCCGGGCAAGGCGAATGTGGTGGCTGATGCCCTAAGCAGAAATCGATGGGTAGCTTGGCACATATAACTTTGATGAGGAGGCCTTTGGTGCAAGAAATTCATACACTTGAGCATAATGGAGTCAAGTTTGAGATTATTGATAAGGGAGCATTTCTGGCTCATGTACGAGCTCGTTCTTCTTTAATGGATCAAATTAAGAGTGCTCAATTTTAGATCCAAAATTATACAAGTTAAAAGAAGCAGTCATAGCTGGAAGTAACACTGAGTTTGAAATTGACCAGGAAGGAATATTAAAGTGCAAGGGTAGGATTTGCGTACCACAAGAGGGAAACTTGAAGCAATTTATCATGGAAGAGGCTCATCATTCTACATATACTGTGCATCCAGGAACAACAAAAATGTATCAAGATCTGAAACAACTGTATTGGTGGGATGGCATGAAAAAGGATGTGGCAGCAGACTTTGTCTCACACTGTTTGACATGCCAGCAAGTTAAGGCAGCAGAACACCAGAAGCCAGCTGGGCTACACCAAAGGTTAGAAATACCAGAGTGGAAATGGGAAAATATCACAATGGACTTTGTCATCGGGTTACCTCGCACTGTTAAGGGGTATGATTCTATCTGGGTTATTGTTGATAGACTAACGAAATCAGCTCATTTCATCCCAGTGAAGACAACATATAGTGTTGATAAGTATGCTCAATTGTATATTGATGAGATCGTGCGACTGCATGGGATTCCAATATCTATAATTTCGGATAGAGGTCCTCAATTTACTTCTCAATTTTGGAGATCTTTCCAAAAAGCTTTGGGCACTCGATTGGATCTCAGCACTGCTTTTCATCCGCAAACCGATGGCCAATCTGAGAGAGCCATTCAGATACTTGAAGATATGTTAAGATCTTGTATTTGGACTTTGGTGGCAGTTGGGACCGTTACTTGGCTTTGATAGAGTTTGCTTATAACAATAGTTATCAATCTAGCATACAAATGGCCCATATGAAGCACTTTATGGCAGGCGATGTAGGTCTCCTATTGGATGGTTTGATGTTGGCGATACTAAGCTTTTAGGACCAGATTTGGTGCAGGATGCTATTGAGAAAGTGAAAATAATTAGAGAAAGATTAATAACAGCTCAAAGTCGACAAAAGTCTTATGTCGATAATCGACGTCGGGAATTAGAATTTATGGCCGGGGATAGAGTATTCCTTAAGGTATCTCCTATGAAAGGGGTAATGAGGTTGGAAAGAAAGGTAAACTGAGCCCAAGGTATGTGGGACCATTTGAACTTTTAGAAAGAGTTGGTGCAGTTGCTTATCGTTTGGCATTACCGCCTGAACTGTCGGGTATTCATCCGGTGTTTCATGTATCAATGCT